TATAGATATAGCGCTTCGGAGAAAGTAGTATCCATGCATCTCTGCCATACAGAGGGAGAAGAATGTAAGCCCATAGGCAATACTGTCCACTGGTAAATCCCGAAAGGGGTGATAAACGCCGTGTATTTTCGTGACTCCGGGTGTAGAGGTAGTTGCCAAAATCCTTTCAAAGCGTCCATGATAGACATGTATCGAGCAGTTCCGAGTTGAGTGAAAAGCATATTTATGTCAGGTAGCGGATACGCATCTCTTACTGTTTCAGAATTGAGTCGCTTATAATCGATGCATAGACGATATAAATCTTTGGTTGATACGGCCGGGGTCATAGACGTGTATTCGATCACTGTTCCATCTTCCAACAGGGCCTGTTTACCCTTATATTGATCTGATAGTGATCCATATTTGTCTTCGATGAAATGATCCATATTATCCTTAACTTCATCCTCCTCTTCACAGATATCTTGCACTGTAGTATTATAAATTTTGCTCCCCCATATCTTCCTTCCATCGTTAGCCGGAACCTTAGAGTTGCTGAACTTGTACTCCAGAGACTTACCCCGAATGACCTTTTTCTTCTTCTTGTGACGCTTGTCGATATCGGCGGGTATTAATACTGCTCCAGCAGCCCATTCACAATTAGCCTCCGCCACTTCAATCTTCCCAGTGTTTATTAGCTCATTGAGGGTCTCCTTGAGCCATTGTTGTGCATCATGCGGAATCATATAAGAACGGGATCGGTACGGCTTAGCTCCCTCCTTCAACTTAATTATATATGGGTCAGTATTTAAACGCTTTATTTCTTTCAATGATGTGACAAACACATTTTTATGTTTTTGTAAATTTTAAGCAACTGCATCCGTTCAGTTTCACTGAGCTCAGGGTTGATGTCAAATCCTTCCGTATCCAAGACACTACCCGCTGCCACCGTTACCGCTCTCAGCAGCGTTCAATTCACCCGCCGTAGACCCGCTCTCAACAACAAGAGTTTCAGAGGCTCCATTATTCCTCTTTCCAGTTAAGTCATCAGCCACCAGAGTGTGGATTCCCAGCGTGACATGATGGTGTGGGTTGACATTGCTAATGGCTTCAGCAGGTAAGTAGATGGGACTATTCACAACCGAGGGAACAGCTTCACTACCCGGATAGTCTACTAACTGTCTCATGTAGTCTTCTACAATCGATACCTCAGTCACTACGTTGTCCTTACGCAATATCTCTTGAAAATCATTCCCACAATCCACAAAAGCAAGAACCCCAATAGCAGATCCCTTTGGCAATGTCAGCCTGTCATTACTTGCATTAGCGATCACGGTCTCAGCAATACGGGTAGGGTGGACTACCGTTGGACATAACGTCATTCCAGTTAAAAAGGAAGAGAACGCGGGTACGAGCATACGAATATTCACTCCATTTTCAACGAGTGTGGGCTGTGCATACTGAATAGAGGTCACTGCAACTTCCAAAGGATCCAGACTCAGTTCTTCCGATAACACCACCACCTCTTGGTCATCAATCCCTGGGGCTAAATTTATGTGCATAACCTTGATAGATGGGCCATCAACTCTCGAATTAGAGTGGTCAACCACCTTGTTAACCCCGTCACCTACGTGTGTATCAATGATTATTTGACATGTCACCACTTCATCATTCTCCCTTTCCATGATGTCAAACACCAGCTCATTGCGGAAAGCATCTGGCACGGCTCGGGCACCTTTAAAAAAATCTACACCAAGAATCAACGGAAAGTTGGGAAAATCGCAGACAATAAAGGTATGAACTACTTCAAGTTCCTCCGAGAACAACAATGAGACTCCTCTAATCAAACCCAGGGCTTTCTCTTGCCTACGACCGGCAAAGCTCAAAGTAAGGTTTTGAACAGGTTCAATTAAATGAGACATCTTCAGGCTTTCGAGGATATATAATGGCATGATAGAAGCACTAGCACCATTATCTAGTAATGCATCATAATCACCGTCTCCAATGGCAACTTGAACCACCATAAGATCAACCCCACTGTGACCAGGATTGGCTCTATTAGGGAAATTGTGCGTGAGTATCTTATTTCTAAATAATTTTTGATTCGTCAATCTCTCGACAGAAGACGAGACGTTTACTTCCCTCATCATCATCTCTCCAGAGTCAGATAAGACGCCGACAGCATGAGTAACAACTTTGTGCCCAGAATAACCTAACGCCTCCTTCGTCTTCAGATTCAAGTCAGGGCATTTTGCTAAAAGTTCAATAAATGGAATCGATACCATCTGATTGCTTAACCACTCTCGCGGGTCAAATCCAGCCTTCAATTGACCGTTTTCGTCTAGCAGCAATGGGTGTTTCTTCACCGCCTTGTAAACCTCAGACGGTTTAGGTAATCCTTTCATCTCCGCTTCCCGATCCATGATAGCTAGCTCCTTCTTTCTTTCCCTCGCCTTAGCCAATTGAGCCAGTCGCATAGCTCGTTTTTGGGCCTCCCACTCCTCCTTGGGTTCCATCTCCACGTCTTCATTGCCTCCCGGTATAGATGCATTTATTAAAGTAGGTTTTGTGTTATGTAACATAACATTGGTAAGATGGACGGCGTTACCTACTGGCGACGTCCCCCTTGAAAATCCTGTTGACGAGGCTTTCGACAACCACCTACGGTGTGAGAAGTATCTCCACAGTTACTACATGGTGCGTTGCAATGACGTTGGACATGACCATCACCTTTGCAGTTGAAACACGATCGAGGATTAAGGTTTGGCGGAGCTTCATTAACTCTCGGGATTGGCAGAATCGACGACGATGGCGCCGCGACACTAGCCGAAGCTTGACTTGGATTCCCATTAACATTACGTCTAGCACCTTCATGTGGGTAGGAGGGTGCAGATACAGGCTGAACATGTAAATGAGACATGGATTGTTGCATTTGGAATAGATCCCATTGTTGCTTTAACGCCTCTAATTGGTGTACATTTACAGCTTGAAGATTTACTGTACCTTGTGCCATAGCTAAAAGAGGAATGAAGTATACGAAGAATTGATGATGGGAGCAAGCTGCATTTTCAGTTCTTCCTTAGCAATCCATTCCGCTTGCGTAAGTTGTGCCTTGAGGTCTTCAATTGATGCAGGTGCAGCACGTAAATTCTTTAGAGAATGTAAATTGAGTCCTTGGACGATATCAGCAACCAATGCACTTTCAGTTCGAGAATTCACCCGGGAGAACTTCTTGAAAATTACGATTTTATCCTTGATATAGCTAACCGCATCCTCATGGGCTCCTTGGGTTTTTCTATTAAACTCCATACGTAATCGGTATTTTGTTACCTCATTCAAGAACTGATTGATGAACGAGTGGACAAAACTGCCCGTCTGGTCTTCATCACCGTAAGATACAATGCTCCAGTTCTTGCTGTGAAACCATGCACGAGCGCCATCACGGAGAAAGCCACCCACTATTTCTATTTTCGCCAAATCCGTAGCCGCATCGCGAAAAGCCGTTAGGTATGAAACCTGATCTAAAAACTCAAAGATACTATCAGCCCCTTCAAGAGAGTCACCACCAAAAGGGACAATTCCAGGAGTATACCCAGACGTACTGGCAAGATAGACCGGTGTAGCACCCAAGAAGGTCGATGGGGCTCCCATACCCAAAGGCATACCACCATTAATAGTATTTGTGTGATTATACATGGGATACATTGTTTGTTGTTGCTGTTGTTGCTGCTGTTGCTGTTGCTGGAGAAACAATTGGAACTGCTGCTGTTGTTGTTGTTGCATGTTATTGTTGAACATTTTAGATAAAAAAAAAGACTTGTAGTCAAAGGCGCCCAGCTACTCCACCAAGTAATATAGGCAGGATCTTTGACGGTGATTATTCAGAGGAGTTAGAATAAACACAAAATATACGGGATTAGAATTGGCAGTGAAACAATGACAATAAATCCAATACTGTTGAAAAAGACTACAATAACACGCGTACGAAGATATACAGATGATATAAGAGACAGATATTCAATTATAAATTACAGTGATTAAACGAAGCTTATCCAACAAAAGCTTAATAACCCAAACTAAGATATAACAGAAAGAACGATGATTTATTTAAGATTCAGTCCGAAAAGGATCAAAATTCAAAACTCTTCAGTCACACAGGGCAAATATACCCGTCTTCACTACTCCCTTAAAAAAAAAACTTTTTTTTACTGGGAAATTTTCGTTCAGGGCTCCACCGGGCCTTGTCCGCTGGTAACTCTCCGCCTGAACGGCTGAAGCTCCCAGCGGCTTTTGAGGGGATCCTTTACTTCCGCTTGGGGTCTTTACCCTTTCCCCGCATTGAATATATCGCTGGCTTAGGTAAAAAATCAAATGGTCTAAAATACAATACCGTAACTTAAGTTGTTGAAAATTATATTGCTCTCTTATGCTTTAACTTCGATACTCTTAAAAAATAAATATACCAACACCATATGTTAACAAAACACTTTTTTAAATGATAATTGTCAATTTTTATTGGAAGTCCTCAATTTTTTTTTAAAAAAAAAAAAAAACTTTGTTATTTCAGGAAATGTCTAGAACTCCGTATTTTTTTCAAACGTATTTTTTCAAACGTATTTTTTCAAACGTGATGGTCTACACGTCGATTGACATGCCATATCATCTAAACTTCATTGGATGATCGTTTTCTGTTTTCCATAAAATCTGCTTTACTGTCATTACAAGCTGCTACTGGAATGCAGATAGACAATTACCAAGCTCTGACTTGCTTGGGAGGTTTTTGCAACTGTTTCTATTTTAAGTAAAGGCTCAAACATTACGGATGATAAAATAGACAAATGAAATCATCCTGACATAAGCTTGTTTATCAATAAATAAAGCTGGTTCACACACTTTGTTCTTCTCCTTTTCTTTTTCCTTAACATACTTCTTTTATCGTATGAAAGTAACCGATCACATAAAAAGGTTAGTTTAGTAGTGACTCTTGTTTCTTTGAAAAGAAGCTAAATCGAAAAAGATATATAATTGTGATATTGCGGCTGCGGCTAGTCTTTGCAATAGGAGGGCGACCTCCTAGGCAGAGTTCTTGAGTTTTTGGAACTCACGAACCGTGAATAGCTGGGATTGGACTGTAAATAGGTGCAATCATACTGGTCTGCTGGTCTTCTGGCCAGAATTCCTGTAAGTGGTACAAAAAAATACGTTTGAAAAAAATACGGAGGTCTAGACATTTCCTTATTTCATTCAGTTTTTAAATTTAAAATGTCAACAATTTCCTATTCAGAGATGCTTCGCAGGGAGAAAGCAATTATTTTGGAAGCAATGCAGGAATCTACAAATCGTTTGAAAGAATGCTTTCCAAATGTTACTGACGAAAAGATTGGGAATGATCTCGCCAGACGAGTTCAAAGTGGTTTGCTCAGTTTCAAGGTAAAGCCTAGACGGTTTCAACCCTACTATGCGTACCTACGTAAATATAAGGGTAGGTTTTTGTTACTTGAAAAATTTACATAGTAATTTTAACCGATCTTTATAAGGTAAAGGTGCTATTGCTGCAGCTAAGGATTTTAAACAGATGACCGCAGAAGAGAGGGAGCATTGGAATTCTTATTATGAACAATCCGAACAATTGTTGACTCCTACGGTGCAACGAAGTTTGGGTTATCGCTTCCGTACTAGAACGGATTACAGTAACTTTTACAGGTTAAAAGCTTTACTGGAAAAGATCGGCCGGGAATCAGAAGCCCATGTAGTTTGTGCGGTTGTGAGAAAGGTAGTTGGGTACAACCGTGCCCATTACGTGATCTCGGGGACCGGTAAGTTGATGGGATTTTAAAAACTTGTGGCATTACTGTACTCATTTTTTTATAGAAGCTGGTGAGGGTTTTTTGCAGGAGTACGAAGATAGGAATGGAGGTTCTCTCAGCTCCAACCTTGAGTATTTTGCTGAGAGACACAAGAGTGTTGAGGAAGGACAAGGTAAAGATGTAGTTAAAGACGTTGCAAATTCTTCATACCAGTTATTCAAATTTAGTGAAAGGTCCTTCATATAAAGTGACCGAAAACCCCCCGGCTACTAAGCAAAAGAGGGTGACAACGTCAAAGCATGACATGCAAAGACAGGATTTGAGGGAGGCTATTCTTCTCTTGATCAGTATGTTAAACATTGTAGGTACATCGATCATTATTTAACAGTTGCTTTTTAATAGACGAGACAAGGGCAGGTATCACTGATAAAGAGATAAAAGAAGTTCAGTGGTCCTCCTTTAAAGAAGCACCATAATTGGCTTTATAAACAATAATGGAAATAATAATCAATTAATTGTTGATTGGCTAACACCATATACCACGTATCAAGATACACAGAAGGGTTTAAGAAAAGCCTTCATCACTACTTATGACAAGCTTTTCCCCCATAATAAAAAAAAACATATCACTGAATTTGATATTAGTGCGCAGTATCAACAGTCTCAAGCTCAAAAAAGTATAATCATAGATGGTATCGACTCTTTGGCGGCTTCTACCACTCATGCAAAGAAGAAAATAAAACTCAGATTGATATGTAGCAACACAGAGTCAGAAACAGGTGAAGGATCAAGCTCCCATTCAAATTTGACAACCAGATTAGATGAAGGGTCCAGTTCAAGTACAGATACAGCATTCACCTCACCCCACTAATTTAAAAAATTAAAGATCATTTTGACCTCCGTGCAAGCTAAATTTTGACGTCAAATTTTCATTTTACTGGTAAAATCACAAAAAAGCACAAAAAAAAGTACAAAAAAAAAAAAGTACAAACGTCATCAAAAATAATTTTTTATTTATTGGCGGGTGTGGCTTTAGACTTTAAATTCTTTCTTTTATTTTATATTAAAAAAAATGTCACTCGTCTCTAGAATTGAAACTGTCTCTTACACTCGCATTCGCGCAGAAGCAGATAGACGTAAAGCAGCAGATATGGACTTATGGTTGGAATGCAGACAAGATGATCCAACGATCACCCTGGAAGAGGTGAAGGCACTTATCGGTCGATACCACAATCAGGACGTCATCTTGCCTGAAAGATCCCGTGGCATCAGCAAGTACAATGTCTACTGCCAGCAAGAAAAGGAAAAGATTCTTGGTGGAGAATCTGGGTCAACTTATTTAACCCCCAAGATTCTTTCTGAGGGGTATCAGAAACTGTCAGATGCTGAGCATCTTGAACTCAATGCAGCCGTTAGAACGTCGGAACAGAAAAACCAAATGGAACAACTAATTAACACGGGTTTGACGAGTCGTGAAATTTGGGAAACTTTAACGGGTTTTCTCAAAGCCTTGTACCGGTTTCATGGCACAGAGTTTATAGGAATTTTTGGGAAAAAGAAAACCTGGAACGATGTTTGTTATGGAGGTATGGCTTTACATAATTTCTTTATTAAAATACTAAACCGTTATAAACTAGAGAACGTTCGTGGAATGGACTTGGGACGATGGAAAAAAGAAGTGAGATTGTACGTCAATCCCAAGTCCCGTGGTAACGATATCTATATATAAAAGCAAAAATAGCAATTACTACTAATTTCCAAACTTATGTTTAACCACTCCCCACACTAGTGAAATATTGCACAGCCAAAGAGTTTCTGGTGTGAAGGAATCCCTCAGGAACTCAATCAGTAAGATCATAACCAATAGAAAATGATCCTTGCCTAATCCTATTATGTAGATCGCCAATGCGAAACCGTGTATGAAAAAATACCTTGGAAGCAATTGGTGAAGTTTGAGGACCTGGGGGCAACAGTTCTCACAAGCCAAAATATTGTAGTCGAGAATTGGCCGTTGCCGGATTTTGTCCATAAGAAATTTATGGCAAGGGACAATTTCAAAATGGTGGAGAACAGTTTAAACGATCTTAAGTTTAAACTGTCTCGCCATTACACTATGGCAGATTCTATTGAAACCAACAATGATTCAGCATTACCAACTTACAAACTCAGAAATAATGTAGATGTAATTGAGCCTCTAACAAGATACGTAAAATGGTGTGACGACAAATCGAAAAAATCAGGATTTTTTTTACGAAACGAGTGTCAAGAAATTCTGTAATATGATACTTATTTACAATACTTATTTCACTGACCATTACTTAATTTAGGGGATCCAAAGGCATAATATTATTAAAGCATCATGAAATTGATCCTAAACTAATTGAAATAATGGGGGAAGATAATATCAAACTTCTGAAAGAGACAGTAGAAGAGAAGTATATTGACAAAGATGCTAAAGTTGGTGACAATACTTACACAGAGCTGTCTAGATTACTAAGAGTAAATATAATAAGATTTGATGTATATTCATTTAATCTAATCATTTATTCAATAAAGGGAGTGGATGAAAAATCAAAGAGAAACAAGTTGAAACTTGACATTATGGATCTTTATATAACATCTTCGGAAGATGATTTTAAAATCCTTGATATCTACATAAATTGGTAAATATTTATATTAAGGAGATCATGTATTTACATCATACCTATTAAAAAAAAAAGCATAAATAAGTTGCCAAATTTCAAAAAGGTTGATCAAATTAGTGAAATGGAACTTACCACAAACTACATCGATCCTATCCTGTCACCACTACTGCATATTCCCGAAATAAACAGGCATCTATTGTGGTAAATATAACGCATTACTTATAGTAGTGAAAAGAGGTATTTAATCTATTCTTTAGGCTTAATAGAAAAGAAGAAAACACGAGCTCCTCTCGGCCCGATGGTGTGATGAAATATTTTAACCAAAAGTCAAATGGTGTGACGCTTGGATATTGTGAAGTAAAGCCCACAGACTCATTGAACAGTATTGACTTATTATGCCAAGATTTGGTGCGATTAGCTCTATTCTCCCGAAACATCATGTTTCGAAAAACAAACCGTATATCTTGCTGTTTACAAATAGTTGGTAATTTATTTAGTAAACTATATTAATAATATACACTCAAAGAGATGCTAAATTTTAAAAAACAAACAGGAATGCGCTGCTCATTTTATGTATTAAATTCTATCAGTAGAGACTAGTGTTCGGAATGAAGATCGAAACTCTCGAGCGAGCTTCGATCGTGTTCCAGTCGAAGCTCGCTCGGATGCGTTTTTTTGCAGCTCGAGCTCGCTCGAAGTTTCTTAAGCTCGGCTCGGTTGCGAATACGATAGCTCGAACTCGCTCGCCCTTTTTATTACACAAAGTGCACGTCAAAGTGATGTTAATTACAGAAAATTATGATAATAAAATTGTTATTTATTGAAATAGAAGTTGGAAAAAGAAAAAGTTTTTTTTTTCACCAGCCTTAACACCAAATTCGGATAATTAAATCAAACTATTACTGCATCTATAATTATAATACATTTGGATTTGTGAACATGAAAGTTTAAATTAATTCTGCTATGTCATGTTACTATGGTTGCTGTAAAAAATTGGCTTAGTTGGGTATAGTGTGCAACACTGTTTCATTTTCTATGGTAAATGTGTTTGCTGGTTGTACAATTAAATAAAAGTCCAAAGCATTTTAATTGGAATTATTAGAGCATAAATAAATAAAAATGGTAAAGGGAAGAAAAGATTAAAATCAAGGGGAAATGCCATCTGTAGTCTTTCAAGGACCTTAACTTTAAAGTGACTACTATCGACATTTTAGCCGAGCGAGCTTCGAGCGAGCATCGATTGAAGCTCGCTCGAACCCAAAAAAAGTGGCGCAAGCTCGAGTACAAAAACTCGGTTCGAGCTTCGTTCGAACTGGCGCAAGATCGGTGCAAGCTCGAAAAGTTCGAACACTAGACGGGAACACGCAATCATATTAGCAGCATCTTTTTCATTATAATTTAGCATAGTCAAAGTCCTAAATCTAAGGATTTTACCTTCTTACAACTCATTTTGTGCATAATCACATATCATCAGTCGGGTTGTAATCTCATAGCTATTGTCCTGATTGAAGCTTTTTTATAATTATATGGTTACATCCTCTGGAGTGCTATTCAATTGGTTATAAAATCAATCACATCCTCTGGATTTTGAATATTTTCACGGGCCAATAAAATTAGGACCTAGAGGTCCGTATTTCCCACAGCTATTTTAACCTAGTCCCTAATTTTTTTTTTTATTATTAAAATTACAGATTTTATTCTTAAAAAAGGGGAATGCAAAAATACTAAAGGGGATGGGAGAGATGTTCTTTAAAAGTTGTCCCCTTCAATTAAATCATGGATTAAGTCCAATAAAGTGGCAGCAGACCAAGCTTGGGTTGCACAAGAATCGTGGCAGATTTCACCATCTTTGTTTGTTAATTCAGGAAGACCGCACCAAGCATCTTGACTGATATAATCACGATGCTTACTTAAAATACGAGCAATCTCTTGAGGGTCGAGTGCTTCGAAGTGGCGAGCAGCACGAAGATAATAACCGAGCGGCCAGACCCATTCAGGGCCTTGATGATAATTACGGCCCTTGGATGTTTGGAAATCCCCAGAGTCATCACTGTTAAAATAATAAGGCTTGTATTGCTGATCTGCAGGATCTAAGGTACGCATGCCAAGAGGTCCGACGAGAATATTCTTACAAATACGGATACATTCTTGAGCATGTTTTCTATCGAAAAGTTCAGGTGCAACGGCCATAGCAACAAAGAGGTTAGGGCGCAGTTGATATTCCGTGTATGCTTCAGTAGCTTTGTAGACATCCTTGTAGACACCACGACGATTTACAATTTTAGTGATAACATCGTAGTTCTTATCATCCGACTTGTCCTTGGGAATATAATACACACGTTCAAAATTCTTTTCTAAAAGATCGTTCCATTGCTTAAAAGTGACCATCTTTTTATCCTTGATTTGATCCACACCCTTCCATTTATATTCACCCCTTTCAATTAATTGATTGATCCAGCGAAGAGAACTCTTTAAGAGACCAGTAATTTCAGCAGGAGCACCATCACGGGGAGTACCAGGGTGTCCCTTATTTCCAGCCTTTGTGCTTTCACCCATTTTATCCATCCATGTACCGCAATTCCAAATGTTACCGCCCACAAGAACACCAGATTCCCAATCAACATCGATATCGATATTAAAACCTTTATCGGACATTTGTTCATCGATTTGAATTCCTGCATTATATTCCCTAAAGTGGATGCCTCGTGCATGTCGTTCCATAATTTCTTGGATAATCTCAGCAATTGTAGATGTGTACTTGTAACCTTCCTCTACTTCAACGAATTTGTCATCTTTAGGGAAACGACGAGGGACCTTAACATTCAAGATAGATTTTCCATCGGGAGCGAGCTTGTAGTAGTCTTGAATTGCTTGCATAAAAAACCAAACGGAATCACGAGAATTGTAACGAGGACGACGCACTGAATCTAACAAATTGGGAATCAGACCATGGCGAAGCGATCCAGCAAACGCAATGATGTGATTTTTGGTCTCTTCATATTGACCAGTAACCATAAGGAGACCACGGAGAGAAATATTTACATCACGACCCCAGACACGCATATGCCCGACTGTAAAGTGAGGTAAGCCAGCAGCCAAAGAAGGGGTAGCTTTACTGGGACAGAGTCCGGTCGAAGGAACTTTTCCGAGCATTTGAACACTTGTCATGGCTAATTGTTTAATAAAAGTATCACCATGTTGAACCAATGGGGACATTAAGCTTAAAGCATGACTATACACCTTGTCGTACGCAGTCTTGACTGTCAATGCAAAATACTTGGGCATTAAGAAATCAGGTACTTCTTGAATCAAAGAGGCACGCTTTTCAAGCCATTGGACTAATGAACCAATATTAGGATAGTCAGCTTGATACGTCTTAAGTCGATTGATTGTATAATCAAGAGCCCAATGTCCACCACGCAAATTATCACAGAAGGGATGGCCCAAATCGTTATTGGCAATGATGGGTTTTAAAACAGACATGAAACCTTGGAGACCGGCATAAACCAACTTTCCATAATTGGGAATATTGTATATATCCTCGGAAGTACTATCGCGCTCTTCACTTTCACAGCGATAGAGAATAACATTACAGTCCAAAAGTCCAAGATCTTTCACAACATCGTCACCGATAGACATGACCACCTGATGGATTTTTTCATACTTTTCACCAATAGAAGTTTTGATAACGCAAATGGAACCAGGAGTAAAGTTGTCTGGAAGGATAACTTCAACAAATTGACCCTTATCGTCAGTGTGATGATCAAAACGAGGCGATTCTAATGTCTCGAGATGAGCAGGAAGACCTTCCAAATATTTAGATGATACAGCCTTGTCGCTGTCAACCTTAAGAGAGTAAGCAAATTCAAATTCTGCTTCAGACTTGCGAAGTTGAATAGGTGAATGACCAGTTCCTTGACCCGGGAAAGCAGTTCTTGAAATAAGCAGGTAGCCAGAGTGAGAATTGGGATGCTGACGATGGACCAATAAAAAGTCATTTTCTTGATGCACGTAAACCTCGCGGTAACCTTCAAGACACATTTTTTGATGAAGGGCATTTAATTTGTGCTTCGCTTCAATAATACCGGTACTATGTTGAGGGTTGGGATCGTAGCAAGATGTTTCGTTAACAATGTCTAAGAGCTTAGGATAGATTTCGTCGTAACCCTTAACACTACCTATAGCACAATCAGAAAAGGCAACAATAGCAGCGTTGGGCAAAGCATCTTGAGGAGTTCTTTTTTGGAATGGAGTTTCATTATCATGAGTGCAGTCCATGAAAAGAGCCCTGGGCATACTACCGCTAGTCACAGGGATATGAAGAACCTCTTCGTGCTCTTTACCTTCATATTTAACCGTCTTCCAGATCATGTCCTCATCCATACTACCAACAGGTTTACCACCGTGACGATGAGCCAAACGGGACAATTCATGAGTATCCCAAGCCTGCATAGCCTCACGAATTAAAGCATGAATACCCAAACGGGAAACAAAGGCATTGTCTTTTTCAGGGGAACCAGTAAACAATTCGGCCAGAACATATAAATCAGGACGAATTTTGCGAGCAGCATCCAGGAAATATTCGGCGACATGAATGGGTGTAGAATGGCAATTATCAATACGGATACCATGGAACATACCAGCCACTTGTTCGGTATATGCACGCATATGCTTCCACAACCAAGGATTGTCTTCGGGAGATTGTCCATAACGAAGCTTAACACAGTCGCCCCAAACAATGACTTCACGACGTAAGTAGGCGATAGATCCAGGTCCTGCAAAATCCACAAGAGGATCTGCATTCCAGATCCAACCGTTATTTGCCAACATCATACTACCTGCAGGATGATCATTCTTTTCATCCACAAGGCGAGTGAAATAAGTTTCAATGACGGGGTTACTAGATAAATGGCGTTAATATATACATAATGTTACTGTTGGAATGTTAATATATACCTCTTAGTGATACGACCTAACTTGGGACCATTTTCAGCTAAGCGCGTAAATAAAAGTCTACCCTTGATATTATCCAACGCAACTCGGGTTTCCTCATCATACTCTTCATAAAATGGCAAGTTATAATCATTCAATAATCCTTGGAAAGAATCTGTCAAAGAATCAACGCGATCACATGATACTTGATCGGTTCCAGTTATTCCATTAAATGCCAATAAGAAAGAAAGAGCCTTGGGAATATCAACTGACTTGTGGAAACGGGTACCTAAATGCCCATTTAAAATAACGTCTTTGCCTAAAAGTTTGGTACGCTCCTTAAGTTGCAAATGAGATACGTTTTCGTATGCAGAAGGGTCTACATCCTTGAAATTGCTAGACTTCAGAGCTTGACGAACTTCATTGACATACTTGGTCACATCGATTACTTTGTACTCATAAAGCTTCAAGTTCTTAAATGTGTGATTCTTGATGTAATTGATTATGGTACTAGCGTCACTATCGGAATTGATATCGACAGGCAAACCTTCTTTTTCCATATTCCCGGAGAGCTCGATAAGTGCAGTATCCAATTCATATGCAGGAACAAGATAAGGTGAATTATGAAGATTGTAGCCTAAAAAATACAAGATACGTTAGTGAAAAGACATACCCCCCCCCCCATTTTTCCTCCTTGCACATTTTACCTGCTTCAGGATGTTTCAACAAAAACAGAGAACTGTTACTGGTATGATTCCAGACTACATCAGAAAGACTGAGGATACCGTTTTTGGTGTGAATGTTCTTGATGGCAGATTGCACAATGGCTAATTTCTCCTTGTTGGACTTGTTGCGATCTTTGGCATTGAAGACATCGTCGTCGAAAGTGAGTTGATCAGCAATACTGTACGGCGAGTTTGAATCGCCTCGTTTTTGTAAAGGAACAAAGTGAATCATATTATACCCAGCGTATTCAGTTTCTTCAATTAGTTTTTTCCATTCAGTAATTGGACCCATCCATTTAGGTACCATGGACAACACCATTAAGCCATCTAAAGGTAACAGTTTTTTCTCACTGTTGGGTAAATTAATACGTGGTTCGGCTACGACGTAACCAACTTCGGATGTGTTTTTAGTGTTATTGACGGTGTATTCCACCTTATATTGGTAAGCACCTGGGTGATCTAGATTAACGTCACAATAAGCGTGGAGCAAATTTGGATCCTTGATGAACCTATCATCATACATTAGTAGCTGAAAAAATCATGTGAACCACCTATGTGCTTACTTGACAGGATGAAATGTGTGTCTTTCATATTCTCTTCTAAAAAAACACGTTCATTACTAAATGATGACAAAGAAATTATTTATCATTTATTGTTACCCTGCAACTGGATAATTTGTATACAAAATTGGCTGTCCACCAGCAGCTAAAGATCCAGGCTTTAAGATGATACGGAGAATGACTTTGCCTTTAAACAAAGGAATACGAATATACTAACAAAATTTATTAATATGCATTGTATATCTCGCGTTTTTGTTGTTCGTGCCCCAAGAAAAAAAGTTTGCATATTGTTATTGCATTAAAGCTTACCGTTTTATCTTGAGCTGGTGAGCCATCATCAGCTAAAGTAAGGGCGTGTAAACGAGGGAGCATTTCTGTGGCTTCCACAGTTTGATTAGAGTTTACCATGGTGATAATACTGTAAAAAAATAATATGTAAAAAGGGCGAAAAGGAAAAGATAAATACAAACAAGATTTTTGGTAGTTTTATAATCAAAGTTGGGCGGGAAAATCACTGTAGAAAAATGAGTCTCAGATAAGAGATCTTTTGGGGAGTTTGGAATAATTGTTTATGCAAACCGTAACATTTTTTTTTCACTAGAAGCAACTCCTATTAATAAAAAGTACTCCTCTTTTTGTTCTTAGTTTGAGATCTTATAACATATGATTTACACTGCACAGTATATAAAGATATGATTTTTTAATTTCTTTTATTTTTTTTTTTTCTTTGTTTTTCAAAAAATTTCATAGATTATTAAAAGTAATACAAAAATAAAATATGACCATGCTAAAAGAGGCATCTTCTTTTGCAAGTGATGTCACATTTTCAAAGCCTTTTCAACAACAAAAATCACATTTAGGCAAACAACAATCGACTTCTTTTTCCGATACAACTGAATCGATTTCGTCTCCAAACAATGTCCAGCCAAAAGAAGAACAGCCAGATAAGCTCAAAAGGGCCAAAGTAATGTTCAAAAATGCCTTTTTAAAATACTGGTTTTTATTGGGGTTGGTTATCGCTATCATCTTGGCCTGGAGATTCCCTGATGTTGGCCGAAAAAATGGTTACATCCGTGCCGAATGGAGTATAAAGTGGGGTAATTATATCATCATCACCTAGTGTTTATTTCGTAACCTAAACAATTTTTTATTAAGGCGCCGTTGTTATTATTTTCTTAATCTCTGGTTTGTCTCTTCGTACAAGGATATTGGCCCAGACCCTTCTCCGTGTTCGACTTCATTTTTTGATTCAAGTCATTAATTTGATTATGATACCTTTTTTTGTATTCGGTCTCATCTTATTATTCTTTAAACTCCATATGCCTGTAAACTCTCTGTTGTTGATCGGTGTTGTCATCGCCGCTAGTACTCCTACCACTGTTTCATCTAATGTAGTGATGACAAAAAATGCAGATGGAAATGAAGCTTCAGGTATAAAACAATCTAGACGCATCATTATAGAATTCTAAATTATATCCTCTTTGTAGCACTCATGAACGCTGCGTTGGGAAATGTTTTAGGTACGTCATATTATTATTTCTTGATCATAAATATTTATATATTCCAAAGGTATTTTCGTGTCACCCGCCCTGGTCTCTGTATTTCAAGGGCCGCTAATCGCTGCTTCCCCAGAAGATGAAAGTGCCAACACAGCAGGAGGTTCAGTCGACTTTATAATGGTTCTTAAGCAATTAGGATTAACAGTACTGTTACCTCTTGTGGTTGGACAGTTAATTCAGATTGCTTTTACTGAGCCTGTTGCAAAGTTTAAGGTGAAATGCAGATTATCTGATGTTAGTAGTTTTTGTTTATTGTTGATGGTTTGGTCAGTGTTTTCAGACGCAGTTCATGCGGGGTCATTCTCCGCTGTTGCTGGAAAAGACATTGCTGCCATTGTTATATTGAATTTCTGCTTCTATGTCTTGTTCTCTTTCGTATCCTTTTTCTTCGCCAGATTACCGTATCCAAAATCGATATGTGGTCGATTGAAGTGGTTAGACAGATTACAATACAGCCGCGAAGACACTGTAGCTGTTATGGTAAGTTACACACAAAATACAGCATGACGCAAACTAAATGTACCTTTCTCTAGTTCTGTGGTGCCACAAAGACTGTAGCAATGGGAGTACCATTGATCAATGTGCTCTACCAAAAAGGAGATCCAGGAACTATTGGTGTATTATCGACGCCACTTTTGTTATACCATGTTGAACAATTGATTCTGGGAAACATTGAGGTAGAAATTTTAAAAAAATGGGTTGCAAGAGGCAAGAAAAGAGACGCAATGAAGCAGACTTCAGAAGAAGTGTTAGACGACGATAGTAGTGATCAACATCCCACAATAGCCTCCGCTCATATAGACCAAGATGAAGAGAACTCTTACCGTAATGGTGGCAGACATATAGATGAAGCCCATTACAACCCACATAAGGGACTCTAGTGTTATCATCATATAGCTTATACCAATAATACCACTACATATAATAATATTTGTCGATATATCAATGCTAGAATTGACACTAGGATTATAGTGCAATAGTAATGCTGTATTTATCACAGTTCATAATGATAAGCCTCATATTTTACATTAATATAATAATAGAACAACATCATATATAATATTTTAATAATATAATGCATTTTCTCTACTGCCTACTGATATCACTTTTAGTTTGTGAATAAATGTTCTATGCCGACTTTTTTTTTTCAGACAAAATTTTCTATTAGTGCTGCATGCGCAAATTAGATAATGTAAATGTATGCGAGGGGATGCCATGTTTCTGCATTTTCTTCTTCTGTTAACAGCTGTAGTGATATGGTTAAACGTTTACTGATTATACTTTTAACTGATGATTCATTTTTTTTTTTTTTTTTTTTTTTTTGAGAAACGAATAAACCTGAATAACTCTGCTGGTACCGCTTTTTGGTTCTATAACGAATTTCAGATCAAAGTTAGAAAAAAAGAGCCCTTATTTTTTGGGTGGGCGATCTTTTTTTATTTTTTCTTCAAGGGTTTGCACCCACGATTATCCCTCAAAAAGGAATTACTAGAAACATTAAATACCAGAACAGAGAGATTAAGACATAATAAGGGGCAATTTCCGTCTAATTCTCTTTGACACATACCTCCCTTTCCAAGACGCTTTTGATGTCGTCACAAAATACATAAAATCTGTAAGCATAGAAAATTTCAATCCATCAGTAATGACTTTGTACAGATTAAAATATGTCCGGATTCATATAAAACATTCAGATTAACATACAGAATCTGTATTTTTATCCTCACTCAATTAGAATACCAATTATTTTGTTGTCATTGATGTATATACAGCGATACAGCTCTGTAACAATGAAGTATTGAAACGCTAACGTACAAGTCTATCTGCAATCTGAATGAACCAAATGATATAATATGCACTTACCGTTATACTAAAGTTCTAATTTATGATTAGAGTACTTTAATCACTAACAACTTTAAAACATTTACATTATTTAATGTGCTAGAAGCGTTTAGGAGCATGCAGAGACCTTCAAGAATACGACAATTCTCTTCTGTTTGGATGATGCCTTGAGCTGCTTTCAAAGATAATGTAGAAGCGAACAGAAGAAACTAAAGGAGGCTAATGACAAGATGTGTTGATTCCGGATAAAGTTAGCCTATTTTATACCAATGCTTGCAATTCAGAAGAGTAAACAAACTGACCAATTTAATGAATCATCTTGGACAGTTCGAAATTTAGTATTGCTGTACTAGATTTTACTTATAAAGATATAATAATATTGATGTACGTTCAAGATTTTTATATACTAGCTATTAAAAAAACTTGGTAGTGTCACAAAAGTTTATGTTTAGTCAAAATATAAGGCGCCCCTTGGCTTGTAAAATTTACTCAGTTAAATAAATGGTACAATCATAACCATATGGACCAGCTAATTTAAATTATGGTTTGAAAATTTAGGATAATACATTTAAAGACAATAATCGTACAAGAGCAAGAAACAAAGTTTCAATGGCTTGTATGGGCACAAAGGGCTAGTTTTTTTTTTTTTTTTTTTTTTTTTTTTTGACAGCAAAATTCATCCAATCATATGAAAATCCGAATTATTTTCTGTCCTCATTGAAATGTTTGGTATGGATAAAAAAGACGTACTCTTACAAAAAGTATACTTAGTGAGTATTATATTTATTGTAACCTATACACTACTAGAAACAAGATAAAAAAAACCAACAGGTAATATTGACATAAGCTTCCAACTAGAATGACAGAAACGGGCTTTTTTATTCAATTTTTGCTGTAGGATAACGCTGTATCACCACTAGTATCTCCTTTCGGCCGATCAGGATGAACTTTAAATTTTTAAACGATGTGTTTGCTCCATTTAGTAGACAAAAAATAATGGGAACTGGGTTGATAAAACCAAATAAAGAACCAATATTGATAAAGATAAAGCATTATTGATCTAAAATTATGTAAAAAATTGAGAAGACTTTCTCTGTCCTCTATTGTTCCTTAACCACTGTAAACCATTCTTCTTCTTGCTTTTCACGTTACACGGATTACAATATATTCCACGGTCAGCTGACCCACTTTTCCATGTCGTATTTAAATAATCGATAAATAAAAGAAATCAGGTTTCTCCCTTTATTTTTACTTTCAACGATTAAAAATGACTACTGAAAGCTTTGTATCTGTATCAAATGACTCTGACTTCCCTATTCAAAATATTCCATTTGGCGTATTTTCGACAAGTGATAAGGTAAATAGCGCCACTAGTTCAATCCAAGGAAAACATTTTAATAATCCCGTTTGTATTTATAGCATGAGCCTCGTATAGGAACTGCTATTGGGGATAAGGCGGTTGATCTTTCTGAAATTGCAAAAGCGGGTTTATTGGATGATGTCAAAGGATTAAATAACCCTGTCCAGATTTTTAGCGAGGTACAAAGAAAAACGTATTTGCCTTTAACAGTAGCTGACACATATCATATAGTCAAGCTTAAACACATTTATGGCATTAGGGCGACCTGTTTGGAAAGCAACGCGTTTAGCTATTCAAGATATCTTGTCTAAGGACAGTGCTAAATTGAAAGACAATGCTGAGCTTTTACAAAAAGTTTTAATTCCGTTGACGGAGGTCAAAATGCATTTGCCGGCTAAGATTGGGTAAGTGTATTATTAAGCATAAGATTGACATGAAAAACTGATTTTATTATAGAGATTACACTGACTTTTATTGCTCTCGTGAGCATGCTACAAACGTCGGTATTATGTTCCGTGGTAAGGACAATGCTCTTCAACCCAACTGGCTTCATATTCCTGTCGGGTACCACGGTCGTGCATCATCTGTTGTGGTTTCTGGTACAGACATTCGTCGTCCTGCCGGACAGAAACTCCCTGGTAAAGACGCTAAGGCTCCTATTTTTGGTCCTTCTTCTAGATTAGACATTGAATTGGAAGTGGGATGGTTTGTTGGCACAGGTAATAATCTTGGTGAACGAATTGACATTAATGATGCCCAAGACCATATCTTTGGCCTTGTATTAGTAAATGACTGGAGTGGTAAAGTATTTTAAGATGGGGCTCTATAAGTGAAAACGTTTAACACATATAATAGCCCGCGATATTCAAGCTTGGGAATACGTTCCTTTAGGGCCATTTTTAGGCAAGAGTTTTGGTACATCCATCTCGCCATGGATTGTTACCTTAGATGCGCTCGAGCCTTTTCTCACAAGCGGGCCCTCTCAAAGTCCTGACCCATTGCCTTATCTTCAGGAAAATAAGCCCGCTGCTTATGATATCAATCTTCAAGTTCAAATAAAACGTAAGTTAAATATTTTATATAGTATGAAACATATAAAGACTCGTTTTTTAACGGTATTCAATGTTTAGCTGCCGAGTCTTCCAAATTTGAAACAGTAACTGTCTCCAACCTCAAACACATGTACTGGTCTGTAACTCAACAGTTAGCACATCATACCGTCAACGGCTGTAATATGAGACCAGGAGATATGGGTGCAACGGGAACAATTTCTGGACCTGTAAGTACTAACCGTATTATGATATGTACATAGACTAAGTGTGTCGTAGGAAAAAGGATCGTATGGATCATTATTAGAAATCACCTGGAGTGGAAAAGACAAAATAACGTTCCAAGACGGCGTTGAACGTTTGTTTTTACAAGATGGAGATGAGGTCAAAATCACAGGCCAAGCTGGCAAAGATAGTAAATTGGGCTATCACATCGGATTCGGTGATTGCAGTGGTAAAATCCTTCCTTGTTTATATGATAAATAGTCTAGATATCGGCCATTGTTTTTTCCGAAAGAGTATCAATAAACATTTTTTGAACTGAATCTGTTCTTATTAAATTTACATGATTTATATAATAATAAAATAAAAAAAAAGGAATGCCCGCATTACCATCTATAGTAGATATCGTACTCAACGGAAAGCTTGTTCTTTATTTTGATTATTATCTTCAATACCACAAAAAGCACGAGAAAATTTTTAGTTAGCCTGACATGATTGGAAAGTCCCAAATACATCTCATGATTTTATAGTTGGTGATACACCGTTTCTTGACGTCACTTTATGGTCATGCAGCTCTGGCGGGTCGGAACATTGTCCAGGAATAAAATATTTAAATTTCTAGTAATTTATAATTATTCCTCTTTTATTCTCGTTTTATCCATAATCAAATAAGGAATAACGTTAATACAATGCCTACCAGTCCTCATGACACCCACAATAGAGATAGATCCTATGGTATGCAACTAGAGTCTGAAATAGAAAATTCCGAAGAACCTTGCGAGGAACTGCCAGAAGGTTTTCGTTACGTTGCGGATACGCGTCGACAGAGTGTAAACCCTGAAAAGTTCTTACAGGCCGGGCTGGAAAACACATGCTACAACATTCGTAAGAGAGGATATCTACCTATTGAAAACTACGGTATCATTGGCAATATGAGAACTATTGCATTAATCGGAACAGATGCATCCTGTGATTATTATTGCTACCCAAAATTCGACTCTCCCTCAATTTTTTGCCGCGTTCTGGATAAAAATAAGGGTGGCCATTTCTCCATTTCGCCGTCCACACCTTACACAAGCAACAAGCAAATGTATTTACCCAATACCAATATTCTAACCACTCGTTTTCTTTCCGACGAGGGCGTAGCAGAGATTTCAGATTATATGCACATCCCTTTAAAGAGTCAGCGTGTCTCTACAAAACCGCTTCTTCCGTGGCTAATTCGTAAAGTTCGTGTTATTCGAGGTTCTGTATCATTCAAAATGGAATGCTATCCAGCATTCAATTATGCGCAAGATAAGCATACAACGGAAGTAATAAATGAACCAGTTTCCGTAGATCAACAAACTATTGCTGGCTTCGAAGCAAAATTTTACCCTGAAGAGGATTTGCATTATTATGTGAGCAGCGATCGTGTGATTTTTAAAAGTAAAGATTTGACAATGGATTTGCGTCACTTGGTGAAATGCGGTGAGTTTGAATGCCCGATTGTCAAAGTTCATCTCGATAAGGAAGATACTGCTCATCTGGGACACGGTGCATGGGCTGAATTTGATCTTAAAGAAGCCCAAGAAGTCGTGTTCGTTTTTCGTGAAGTTCCATCCCCACTTGCCGAGGGTGTTGAAGAAAGTTTTATAGATCGTAGATTGAGGCTTGCGACAGATCCCCCATTGACTATGAGTCTTTTGGAAGCTCTTTTCAGACAGACCAGTACTTTTTGGTTAGACTGGGTCTCCCAAAGCACGTACAAGGGCCGTTGGAGAGAACATGTTTTACGAAGTGCTCTGACTCTAAAATTATTGACTTATGAACCGGTAATTTAATTAGCGTTATTATTTTACTGAATGTAGCACTTACCCCTTTTTTTATTTAGACGGGTGCAGTTGTTGCCGCGGCAACTTTTGGCTTTCCTGAAGGTTGGTAAAAGTCTCTGGATACTTACAGTGAGTTAATTTTACTTTAAATAGCAATTGGAGGGCCACGTAATTGGGATTATCGCTATGTCTGGGTTAGAGATTCCTCATTTACCATTTATGCTTTTCTTCGGTTGGGATTCAGTCATGAAGCGAAAGAGTTTATGGGATATATTCAAGACCGCTGTAATGACTTGGTACTACAAAAACGCATGATACATTGTGTCACAACTAATTGTTTATTTTTATAGAATGAGGATGGGTCATTAAATATAATGTACAGCATTGATGGTGTGAAGCGACTAGATGAAGTAGATCTCAGTCATTTGGATGGTTATCGTGACTCAAGACCTGTTCGTATTGGAAACGGTGCTTATGATCATCTTCAGCTTGATATTTATGGTGAATTAATGGATGGTATATATCTATACAATAAATATGGTTCACCAATTTCTTACGATATGTGGTGTTCCGTTCGCAAATTGGCCGACTATGTATGTGCCAACTGGGATGTACCAGATATGTCAATTTGGGAAGTCAGAGGGCGCAAGCAACAATTTACATATTCGCTAGTCATGTGTTGGGTTGCATTAGATAGAGGTAAAAATGATGACAGCTAAAGCAATGCATGAATTTAATCAGTTTGAAAATAGCTTTAAGACTAGCAGAAAAGCGAGTTTTTCCCTGTCCTCAGCGTGAAAAATGGATGTCGACTAGGGACACAATTTATGAACTGGTTCAGACCAAATGCTATAATCATGAGCTCAAAATGTTTACACAGAGTGTTGAATCACCAGATGCACTAGACGCTAGCTGTCTTATCATGCCACTCGTTTTCTTTTCTTCGCCGACAGACCCAAGACTACTAAATACTATAAACCGAATTTTGATGCCTCCCGAGAAAGGAGGTCTTGTAGCAAATGATCTTGTGTTTAGGTACAATTTTCTTACCACGGATGATGGCGTAGGCGGTTTGGAAGGGGCTTTTTCTATGTGTACATTTTGGTTGGTGGAGGCTTTAACAAGAGCAGGACAGTATGACAAAAAGTTATTAACTCGTGCAGTTGTCATGTTTGAAAAAATGCTGTCTTATGGCAATCATCTCGGTTTATTTTCGGAGGAAGTTGCCAGATCGGGAGAGCTTTTGGGAAATTTTCCTCAAGCATTTACGCATCTGTCATTTATTAGTGGTAAAGTATTTCTACATGTGTGTGCCGAGATTGTGTAATAAGGGATAGAGTCGCATATTAAATAGGGATAAGGGAGGACATAAGGGGAAACTATATATATTTATTAATAATATTTTCTTCATAGCTGCTTACAACTTGGATCGTGTACTATCGCATTCAAAAGAAAATCAGTAAAGTTATTTAATAAACTGATAGGATAGTTAATTGAAAATAAATAAAGAGATTGAAATTTTACATGTATGATATAATGTGCCGGTTCCCTTATTGTAATAAACCGAGCACTATGTATTTCCCATTGTTTAATATGTGGTCATATTATTATTATCTGGCATATAAAAGTAGGTACCTTAAAAATAAAATCCCTTAATTTTCTCTCTCTCTCTCTTTTTTTTTTTTTATCGCCCAACATCACACACCTACACATTCCACATCTTTATTCTATTTAATCTATTTTTCATTTTCTTTACTCGACTCCACCTTTTTTTTTTTTTTTTTACTATTATACAAAGAATGAAAAGCGTTCGATTATCGTACAGAAAGAAGTTTGACGATCAATATACATTTGACCTTCAAAATAATGTAAAATTAATATAAAAAAAGCACAGACAATGGTTTATTTATATTTACTGATTTCATTTTTAACTGTATTATTTAGCTCACAGTTCATGAGTTTCACTCTATTGTTGGTCTTTTTAACCAAGCTGCGCGTTTAAGACCACCGCCCGGTTCAAAAATATTTTGGATTGGAACATTGCTTACAATGTGGATGACTGCTGCTACAACATTTTATTTATCGTGGATTCGTTTTGAGTATCCATACATTCTTGTTGCATTACCGGCTTTCATAATAACAAGCTCATTCTTAATGGCATGGCTTCATAGAAGCAGAAGAACAAAGGTAAAAGACCTTATATTAATTAAAAGTACTACTATTTTAACTGTATTATACCCAGTTTGAACAAAACATTCTCGAAATATGCAGTCGATTAAACGCAACCGAAAACATCCGTGGTATAAATTTTAGATTCAATAAAAACGGCATTGACGTAACGCCATTTAGAATACAATCATTATCAGGTGTAAAATCAGTTTATGTAAGTGAGAATTCGATGAATATGGCTTTTTACTGAATTTATTATGCACAGGCTATTGATATAGAGTTTGATGACCGATATAATGCCTTAACAAGCCGTCAATTCAACCGACGCTCACCATCAGAAGATGAAGTTAGTTATATTCTTCCACCCAAATCAGCTTACTTCAATCGCCATTGTACAGATGAAAAGGATCCAAACTGTATGTTTCAAGATCCACCACCATCGTGGTCTCCTCCGTATAGCGAAAAACGAATCGACAGGATGGCTTAGAGCAACTAATCTGTTTCTTAATGTATACTAGCTTTACCGATATAAATACTCATTCTTTCTCTTTTTAAGTTTATATCTACCGTAAATATAATAAACGCATCTTCTCTTTCATATTTTCGGGGTCAGTAACGAGTTGAATTAATTAATCAAGGTCAATGAAGGAGTATGCGTGTAAACCAAGCAGTAGTTTTACTTGGATAATTCGCTTTCATTATAAAATGTAGCTTTTTTTTAGTACTGTCATAGTTTTTTTTTTTTTTTTTTTTTTTTTTTTACTGGCCATTGTCATAAAGCCTCGAAGTCGGGTAAGTAATTTTACACCAGATTTTGGAAAATTCAACTTACAGACATTTTTAATATATAATTGGATGACTTCCAAAATGCAAAATAGAATTAAATAGAATAGACTTAATTTTTTGGGTTGTGTAACGTGGAATTAACCTTAAATTTCACTGCTTAAATTTTTGAAGTTAATTCGACCCCCCTACCCCCCCGAATTAAAATAGAATTAACTCCAAAAAAAAAAAAAAAACATTTCTATTAAATACTTTGTTTCTGATAAACGCTAATAATATGCAGATAATAGATATGAGATGTATGGATAATATTTGTCAAAAACGTTTATTTATTCGGCTCTTTTACGCTTCTGGGAACGGGTGCCTTTGCCCTTTTCAGAAGTAGGAATAGGTTGCTAATGTGCATATAAAGATTATGGTTTTTAGTACGAATAAAAAAAACATGATTTATAATAGTTAAACTACCTTAGCTACCGATGTCTTGATATATTCAAACATCGCTGACATCTGATAATGTAGTCGGTTAGATAGAGTTTATATATATGATACGAATCAACATATTGATTAAATTTACCGTCTCCTTCAACTCGTTGAACTCCTTTTTGACATCATTGAGTTCACTTTTGAGGCCATTTTTCACACCATCCAGGCGAATGTTGACCTCCTCAAATTGATTGTCAACAGCTCCAAGACGATTTTCAATCATTTCCAAATTGACATCGGTCACGTTGGTCATTTCGGAACGTGTGGTTGGGACCGATGGTTTTGGTTCATTTTCTCCCCGAAGAGACAACGCAATTGCCTCAGCCAGGACACCAAAATGGTTGTTGAAGTCCTCCATATGCTGGTGGGTATTTTTGGACTTCTTTGGCATTGGCACCGTTCTACCAACTGCACGAGGAGATGCCTCACTCTTGTCACTGTCTGTTAAACTCTGCTCTACCAGATCATCAATTGAGCGAAAGCCGCTACCTCCATGATGCATGCGGCTTGCTTTCTCTTCATCCTCGGAATCCGTGTGACCATGAAGCTGTGATAAGCAGCCTTTGATTGCAATTTGGTCCTCAATTGTTTTTGCATCAGTAATCAAAGTAGTTGGGGTTGAGTTGCCTAATAGATTTTTTTTGTTTGTATCATTGTTAGCAAGATTTCTTTCATTACACCTCGAATTATATGATAATTTACCTGTTGGTGCTTTTGCCGTTCTCAATGTACGATAAGCCGCCTTCAAAGAGTTGCCGCTACGCTCATAGGCAACCTTCGTTCCCTTGGTTCCTGTTTCCAACCTGATGGCCTCGTTTTCTTGTTCGACAATTTTTTTTTGTCCAGCCATATATATTTGGCTTACACGGGACCATTCGTCCGCTCCACTTGGCAAAACCTTCTTTACTATTTTCAGTAAATAGGTTTTTTCATCTTTAGTCATTCTGACAGATCCTGTTACGTTGCCCATTGTTATTTTTATTAAGTTATATGAAAAGAAAGAAAAAAGGCTTTTTTAAAAAGCGAAAATTATGGTTTTTATAACACGTTGTTTAATAAAGCACGCTATTATGTCAGACTTGTTTGAATCAATCATCTTGTTGGGATAATATGGCGTGACTTATGAGATTCGATGTTGTGGAACCCAATTGTTGTCACTTTTGTATTGGTAACGAAATACAAGTTAATCTCTCTTTTATCATCCATTTCCTTTTTCTTTATCCCCTTTATATTTTTGATACAAAATGCCCCCTATAACAAAGCGTAAATTAGCATTATTATCGCATATTACTTTGCTTTCTGCTGCTGCCTATCAGTACATGAATTATCTTGAATCTCAACGCCGTATTTCTAAACGATTCTACACAACGTCAAAAAGTCTGCATTCACCTACTAAATCGGCTGCTAAAAGGTTGCTTGATGGTCGTCAGGATGATGCCTTTATGTGTCATTTTGGTTTGACGACTGGAGCATTCGATCAATTACACGAAGAATTCCAAAAAGAATATCCAACCGAATGCACGGCTGGACGTAAAAGAGTACTTGACACGGTGATGACACTTGCTTTGGTTCTGATGTGGTTGCATAACACCATGAAGCAGGAGACACTCTGTATAATATTTGGTGTCCCTGCTGCAACACTCAGTAGATTTAAAACTATGGGTATTCAAACCCTCTTAAACGTTTTTGAAAAAAACAAAAAAGACCCTCGTTGGAAAATTGGTTGGCCCACTACAGATGAAATGACAACGTTTAACGATATGGTGCTTACGAACACCACAAATGACTTTGAGAAACAGGTGTTAGAAGGAGTGTTTGGCTTTGTTGACGGTCTTAACCTTAGAATACAACATCCTGAAGACCCATTCGAGCAAAATGCGTACTATAACGGATGGAAAGGTGATTGCTATGCCTCACAAGTTTTAGTATATACCCCGGATGGCTGTATCGCCTATGTGAGGTAGGATTGACATACTTGTTTGATTCTCTAAACAAACAAAACTAAATTGACTCTTTTTCTTATAGATATAACTGTCCTGGTTCTTGGCATGATGCCGAAATAGCAATTCCACTTTACGAAAGGTTTCTTGCTTACAAATGTCCAAGCCCTTTCAAGCTTCTTGCGGATTCTGCTTTCCCTTGTAAGCGAGAGTTTGAAAACAAAGTGCTAAGTGTACCAAGAGAAAACGCAATTGGCATTGAAAGAGCCAACGTGCAGACACAAAAGAAACATGCTATCATTACCAAGCATAGACAGGCAGTGGAATGGGGTATGAGAGCCATACAAGGGTCTTTTGGAAGACTTCATACCAAGCTTCCTTCGGATAAAATTAAGCGTTATGAAATCTTGACCCTTGTATGGAGACTACACAACTTCAGTGTAAGAACGGTTGGCGTCAACCAAATTAATACTGTTTACTATGCTAATTGGAAGGCGAGAGAGCAAGAAATTTTGAATTATGAAAATTAATAAAATTTATTGAAAGTTAATTCTATTTTATGGTTTTGGAACAAAAAAAAATTAACTCGGAAAATCAAATTCCCGGAGTTAATTCTATTCTATTTAATTCTATTTTGCATTTTGGAAGTCATCCATTATAATGCCAAAACCCACTTTCAACCTCCTCGAGTATAGTTTGACATATTATACTTCATCTAAATGCAGGGCATGAAGAGGCGAAGGGGACAAAAATAAGGGGTAACTATGTTACACATATGGTATGTAATCGCATAAAACTATAGCCAGCCATTCAACTAGTTTAAAAAAAAAAAGAGCATGTCTTCCCTGAAACAATATCCATTCGAGGTTTTGTTTGCAATAGCAAGCAATCTTGAAAAGAAAGATCAGCTGACATTTCTTACCGTATGTAAAGCATGGTACAGACCTTTACTGGAATCCATTTATAATCAAGTCGAGATTGATAATCTGAAAACGTTTCGTTCGTTTCTTGTCAGCATTACACACCATCGTCACCTTCCAAATCTTTACGTTAGAAAACTCAAGCTACCCTCAACCACTGGCATTTATGAATGGGATCAAAATGAACGAAGCATGACTTTTACAGAATTTGAGTTATTAGCTCGTCATTGTACTAACTTGACAGAAATATCCTTCTTCGGGAATGGGTATTGGGCATGGATGAACAAGCTAGATTTGTCCAAATTGTGGCTTCGCTTAACAAAACTTCCTCTGTCGTTCGGTGTACAAGATTCGTATCATGTCTTTCAGAGTATGGCAACACGGCTTGTATCTTTTGAACTCGGAATGAATTTCCCTGGGCCTTTTTATGTAATGAATCTGCTACCACTGATGAATAACCTTCAAACGATTTACATTCATGATAGAAAATTGTCTATGGATCTCAGCTGCTTGAAAAATATAAAATATCTTAGGAATCTCACTTTGCTTACAAATGTTTCGCCAAATAAATATGATATCCACCCAGTTCAACCAAACTTGAAGACATTGACCTGTGCCATCGACGATCCAAACTCTAATTGGTTTCCTATTCTCAAGGCATTGTATAAAAATATCATTTGTGTTTCAATATATTTAATTGTAGACAAGCACAACACTGGAGACAAGCTACTAAGAATGATAGGTGCTGTCCTAGACATGATCCATGACACCAATATTCAACAAGTCAAGACATTTTTTCCAAATATTGATGATTTTGCTTTGGCTGTAGAAAGTGCTATCATGGACACTGTCTACGACTACACAATATGGGATAAAAGTGGTACCCTATCTACTATAAATTTAGATATCAGGTACTTTGATCACAGTGGGTTTGTTTTTTCTCATAATTCATTCGAGTCGGTATTCTCAAGACAAAACGTACAAGAGCATGTATTCAAGCTAGCTACCAGTCGACCAGATGATAGCAACTGCAATTATGAAGTAGATTTTCTTGTGGATATAATCAAACCCCCCATCAATCTTCAGTTAAAGAAGCTTTCTGTAACGATAGCAACATCGTTATACCATACAAGACTACCAGAGATAAAGGACACTCGTTTGTTTTATCTTGATACAACATTAGACCATTTCCCCTACCTAGATTCATTTACACTTATAGTAGACGTTAAAGAAGTAAATCCAAATAGTAAATCGAAAATTTGGACTGACCGTGTCAACTGTACGGAGCTGACTATTAGCAATTTTCGGTTGAGAAAGCCTCATTCATTTATTCACTTCCTAACCATACAGTCTGCGAAGATAAATCGATCGGTGTACCACTACTTGTTTAAATTCTGTCGATACCTTTGGAAGCTTCATTTAGTAGATTGCCATTTTAGCGACGATGAAACAGTTATTGCGTTGGAGTATCTATGTTTACAAAACCACGTCGAATTGGTCATTGTCTAAGCTGATATTTTTAAATTATGGGCGATCCTTTTTTTAAAATAAATAGAGGAATTACTGGTGGAATAAGAAGGGTGAAACAAATTAAATGTGGCTTTAACGGTCATCGTAAATATTAAGTAGCTATAAGGTCACAATGTTTTAATATAAGGTTTTGTTTTGAAGTATTTGGTCTTATTCTACTCAGGTAGGCCTACTTTCCTGTTGATATAATATTGATCATATTTTGTCGTTTAATAGGGATGTTTAGGGGATGAAACATAATACTTCAGACTATTAATTAGCAGCATTCCTAGAGGAGTAGGGATTGAAGGTAAGAGAAAATAAAAGGGCTTGGACTTCTCCATATTTTGGATTCAGAACGTATTCTCTGCACCAAAATGTTATGCACGTGCTCTTGCCGTAGACTGATTCGACTATTATACCCGTAAATCTTTGGCATTGTAGATGATAATGAACAATAGAATTGAGCCATAAAAATATTGGTTATTTTCATTCGGCTTATGGGCCGATTGTACGATACGGCTTTACAAATACAACTTTCTTTCATTTTTTTTTTTTGGTAAAAGCCTATTACACATAGCCTCCAAGTCAAGATATTAAACAGATATAAGGGTATGTTTTCATTCTTTTTTGTAGTAGTAATTCTATGCTAACATCCGTTTCTTTTTATTTTTAGCTCCTTTTTCGTATTTTGAAGATGTAATCTCCATCATCCTCCTATTATATACAGGGCATTAACATCTTTCACGTATTTTTAATAGATATAAAACTCTTTTCATTCCAGTAAGGTTAAAATGTTGCTACTTTTTTGGATTGCTTTGCTTACCATCATTACTATTATTAAGTTATATGATGAATAAGACCGTTTAAGGCTGTTTAAAAGGTAAGCCCAGCATTCGGCTTAATTATTAAACATATTATATTTTGTGTAGTTTGCACTTGATTATCAAATGGCTTTAAAAGCAAACCTGTTTTGTATTTACCGGCGTTCGCCGCATACGTTCATCAAATTTTGCCAGCACAAGCTTTTTATCATTTTAATAAACCATTTCTTTTTGGCATTTTTGAGCTCTCTATTTTTGTTTATTCGTGTAATTGTTTGTGAGTCGCACAAAAATTGCTAAAACCAAAAAGGAATATTTCTGCTCGACCCCTTTTTGGAAGATTTGAGAGATTTTCAACTGGTTGTGTAGCAGATTTAGAAATGAGACCCTTTTATTATTTTCCTTGCGACATCCTTTTGGCATTGATTCTTTGAAAAAGAATCTCAAACTGAAGAAGTCTATTATTCTCGTACTGTTCAGCTATTAGAAGGTTCTGCATTTAACGATTGTAAGTAAAGTCAACTTCATGAAGTATTCAGTCAGTTAAACTGCTTATACATAAAAAAAAAAAAAAAAAAAAAAAAAAAAAAAAAAAAACGTGTTAAACTTCGCAGGTTTCGTCCTCTATCAAAAGATCAAACCTGTCAAGAGAACTTATTCGGTTTTTTCCTTGAAGTGGATTAAGTTACTGATTACTTTCTTCCTGAACTCATTCAAATATTTTAAAAAAAAAAAAGTAAATTGCTGCAGATAAATGTACTCGTTTTATAGTCTCTGATGTTGGTGATGAAATGGCCATGTCGATTAGGTATCAAACATATCAGGGTGTTGCTGCTGCTATTATGAGGTACCGTGGTACTTGCTAAGCTTGCCTCTATCCCTGAGAGTATTGGGGTTCCAACTTTGGAAAATCTCATACAGTCCCTTGTAAAGTTACTGGTCGTTGTGGTATGATCTTTGCACGTTTAGTCCCTATACCTCGTGTATCAGGTATAGATCCTTCCTGCCAAGAAAATATGTTAGTGTCACAGATTGTCACTGCTACTTATGGTGACACTGTCTGTACTCTTAAGGATACCTCTTATATTATTGGTAATAATTATGAGTTCTTAACTCCTGAGCTTTGGGAGAAATCTGAGTTCTCTAAGGGCCCTTACCAAGAATTATCTGGTTTCCTTACTCGAAAGCAAAAAGTCGATGTTGATGAAAGGCATTTTTCTAAAAAAATAAAATACTTTTTCGTAGGATTGATTAATTTATTGTATTAGGTGAAGTAAAAGAACACAGGAAGGAAAAAGGAAGAGAAACGAGAGAAGGATAGAAAAGAAAAAGGGGGTGGTAGTGTGGATGAGAAGGGATGGGATAGATAATATACATAAAATACTAAGATGATGAAGTAGAAGCTGTTGGAGTTTGTGTTTGAAGATAAGTCTGGATTCTTTTATCCTTTATGACCTTCTTATTCAATGGATGTTCTACAACGGGTGGCATACTTAATATTGGAACGTTGGAAGGTTGTTGGAAGTACCCGTTTGGATCAGCTGGTTGATCTTCGTAATACGGTGTCATACAAAACGAATTATTACTATCATTTGTTGGAGGATATTGAAATGGATGTGGTGATATACTTGTTGGAGTATTTTTATAATTTTGGTGGAAGGCTGGTTCTAATTCTGATAAGGGTCTGCCACTTGATTTTCTTCTAGGTGATGATTTTTGGCCAAATGTGAGTGCAGAATCGTTACTCTCTTTTCTCTTTTGGTGGTGATGATGATTCTTTCTATTAGATGTTACACGCGATTTATTATTTCCTCGTGTTGTTGAATTGTCTGGTGGTGGAGGTGGTGTAAGAGAAATTTTTTCATTAGGCCCAATACTCCTACGTTGCTGTTCATAAAAACCCCTAGCATTCTTTTGCTGCTGACGAAGATGAGGGTTATTACTGCGATGTTTATTTTGCTGTGGTGGTAATGGATTATTGTATGGATCATAAGTGTTGTCTGGTTTTTGTGGCCAACTTTCTTCCTCGTCACCTTCACCAAACATTGTAACATCACGCCATACGGCCAATTCGTCCTGTTGATAATTTGATGCTGCCGTTAAATTCTGCTCACTGCTCGAGGATTTCTGTTTATTTTTTTTTCTTCGAATCGGATTGTCTTTTTGGAAACTCCAATGTTTTTTCGGCTCCTCTTCCTCGATCGGTATAGAAAAGAATGAAGAAGCGATAGTCCAAAATATCAATCCGACAAAGAGGAGCACTAGGGCTATGGCAAATATAACTACCTCGATTCGAACTGCATGTCTAGCACAATAAACGTTATTATTTAGACTTTTACATGTCTGTTTAATCATTCTAAAATATTGGTCGTATGTGATTCCAAAGCTGAAGGCGACAAGAATTGAGGTTGCTATCAATAGGCCAACAATGATTTTTCGATAGATATATTTTCCTCTTCTATTTGCCCATAATCCAATCAGAAATGCAATCGAACTAAACATTGTTGCCAGTATCAATGGTATGATTCTGCTTAAAGATGTGTTATTTGTAAGGGGTGGAATTGCATGATGTTCGGTTGCGACCTGAAGAATAGTTGATACGTCTGGAAGAGAAAAATATAAATATACGGGTAATGATGATATCATTGTTATTTAATCAATTTATACCTGGTTGATATTTAAGGTTTGTTGGAGTACAAGAGCAATTTAAAGCATACATGTAGCAGTGTTTCCACAGTCCAAAAGATACTGAATCCGGTGTTGTTAAATTACTTGATATGTTTCTATATAAAAAGACCTGATGTAGTGACATACTACTTTTAAATGAACAACTTTTTGAATTATCATTTGTTTCAAGCCAACTACCGAACCCAATAGCCAATACTGCTAATAACAAAGCCCCGATACGGACTGATGGTAGCAGCACTCGTTCAACAAACGGACCATAAGGTGATCGTTTCCTTATGGGCATTAAAAAAATAATAAAGAGAAGGAAAAAGGGAATAAAGAGGTTTTCTGGGTTGTTTTTAGATTATATTTTTATTTTCATGTAATACAAGAAAAAGGGCCTTAAAATAACTTTTTTGTTAATCCCTTAAACAAAGACACGCACACACACACACACACACACACACTTAAATTTACACACACACTCAAAATTACACACACACACACACACACACACACACACACACACACACACACCACACACACACACACTTTAACATACACACACAATATCCCTTTTTTCTAAGGGGAAGGATACAATTGATTTCTTATTCCAATTAAACCGGACTGTGGTTGTAAAGTGTATTATTGTATCACAAAATAGGAAAGAGAAAATTAACAGTAGTCGATCAAATTAGGGTGTTTATTTAAATATGGATATGTACAAGAAGGGGGGGTATTATATATTAATTTCTATTATAATGGAGGTAATAATTGCTTAAATTCATCATAGTCAATAAAACCATCTCTGTTAATGTCGGCAGTAAACATCATTTCTTTAATTTCTTTTTTGCTGAGACGGCTGTTAAACATGATCATAACTTGTTCAAGCTCGTTTTGACTGATACGTCCATCGTGATCTTTATCAAAAAATTGGAACCATTGCATGATTTCTTCATCGGTTGCTATGTCCTTGTCAGTATAGATGTGATCGTTTTTGAAACAGACTGGAGCCGGTTCATGAGGGGGTAAATAACGAAACATGGTCAATACAAATTCATTAAAATCGATTTGATTGTCATTATTCATGTCAGCCATCTTCGCAACTTGTTTAGGATCACAATCTATACCGAGACTTGAGATGATATGCGAGAATTGCCCGATAGTAATATATCCTTGGTTTCTTATATCGTAAAGATTAAAGGCTTCTTTAAGGGTATCAAGTTCTTCAGCAGTGATACCGAGGGAAAGATAGTAGTTTGACATTGTTATGATTAAAATTGTAAATATGGAAAGAATAAAAAAAAAAAAAAAGTTTCGTTGTCTAATCCTTTTTATACAAAAACGCTAGAAAGAAAATATTTCCACGTGAACGGCAAAAAATTGACGATCTAACAGTACGGGAGTTCAATCATTGATAATTAATCAACTTCTTTCCATTATACCTTTCTGAAAAGAACATAATTTTTCTTTGTCGATTGCTGAGCATTAAAACTTTTTTTTCCTCAGCAAATGAAATACGGATTTCCTGTTATGGACATGTCAAAAAGAAGCTTCCAAAATCTCCAGTCTCCCTATTTAAGCTTTTTGTGCCGCTTTTATAAACTTGACCTGTGCAAGCTTTGATTATATTTCTCTCGTAGATTTCCGGTAATTTAATGCGCATAACGAATTCTATGAAATCCATGCCTAAACATAGCTTCTGTAGAAAGGAAGAAAAATTACGATATCCCCCTGCCTATGGGATAATGTATTTTCCTGATCAAATATCATCTGCTGGCCCGGCTGGGTATCTTGGTCGTCACGTTTTTTATCACCTTAATAAATTATGGAGGTCGCCGCCTGTTGTAAGAAGAACCTGTTCCACTTAGGTTTAAGATTACCCGTATCTAATTATATTCCCTCTTGTCCTCAGTATGTGAAAGCATGATTATTTTTTTTTATTATATTCCTAAAGTGTAAAAACAGATGATATTTTAAGGGGAATATTAATGAAATATCCGTGCTAAAGGTCCCATCAAGGGAAGAGTAAAAAGAAATGTTTTATTTTTCATTTACTTTTATTTAAAAATAAAAAGTATAGCATTTAAATAAACAAATGAGGCAGAAGAAAAAGGGGACCGATTTCTTCACCTACGGTATTATGCAAATCACTCGATCTTTTTTGTTATGTGAATCAATGATTATACCAAATTTGTAAACAGAGTTGATGACATAACAACCAATCAGATACTACAATATAAAAATTGAAACTCGCATCTTTTCTTTTCCTAGATCCCTTTCCCCACACATATGTCACGACTAAGAAATACACCTTGCACAGGTATGATTCGATTTCTATGTGTATACCGAGGTTAACAATTTTTTATAGAGTGTCGCAAACATCGTCGTAAATGCATTCAAACTTCTTCTGCCAAATGCTCGAGATGTGAAAGACTTGGTAAAGTTTGCCTCCAACCAACCAAAGAAATTGCATTATATGCTGAAGGGAATGACATGTTCGACGATTTACAAATTGAAGCTGCACAATTGGAATGGGCGATCAAACAAATGGAAATTCAAAT